GGGGCTTGAACTCACGAACCTTGAGATCATGACCTGAGCGAAGTCAGATGCTCAACCCACTGAGCCACCCAGGTGCCCCTTAATTAATCTAAGTTTAAAAACAGCAATAACAGAATTAAAGTCCCAGTGCATTTTTTTGGTGGGGAGGACTTGAAAAGTTATTCCAAAAGTCCATCCTGAAGGTCAAGTGTATTAGGAGGAGCCAGAAAATATTTGAAAATAAAATCTGTACGGTAAAATTAGAACCACGCACTACTGCCAGAACAGACAAAGGAACAAAAGAGAAAAGCCCAGAAGCAGAGGATTTAGTATATACCAAAAGTGACGCTTCAAGTCAGTCAGGACAAGATGGGTTATTCAGTAAACTGTTGGGACAGCAGTTACCTTGGTGATCCTCCCATGGGCACAGCACCTGCATGTGTCTTTTGTAAAAGCTCCACTGGCCTGATAATTCAGAAAATATTGTAGGTTATATTCTTCTGTCTGATCTTGTACTGAAATGAATTCCTGATGAAGATTTAAGAGAGAACAAACTCAAATACCAGAAGAAAATATTGGTAAACATATAATCTTGGGTTTGAGACAGACGGTAAATAAATCTCAAAGGCAGAAACCACCATGAGAAGACAGAGAGATTTGTTTATACCAAAAATTTTTTTAAGTACCTATATCCGCATACACGAATTAACAAAGTTGAAAGACAGATGCCAAGCAGGGGAAATGTTTATTACGCAAATGGCAGACAATTCTTAACTATGTAAAGTACTTTTGTAAGACCATAAGATAATAAGGAATATTTTATAGAAAAATGGGTTGAGGGCATGGACAGGAGATTTGCCAAAGAAGAAATCCGAAAAGCATATAAGCATGGAAAAATGTTTACATGGTTAAGAATCAAAGGACTGCACATTAAAAGGACAGCGAGAAACCTTTCATTCTATCCAAGTTTTAAATACTTAATTTTAATCTTGACTTCCAAGAGAGTGGCATATCCGAATGTTAACAGTGATTAATTATCTTTGGGTAGTGGGTTAAGGGTACTTTTCTCTTTTTTGTTTCAATTTTCTTGGTGTTAATAGTTTTCTTTTGGGGCGCCTGGTTGGTTCAGTCGGTGAAGTGTCCAACTTCGGCTCAGGTCATGATCTCCTGGTTTGTGGGTTCGAGCCCCATGTCAGGCTCTGTGCTGACAGCTCAGAGCCTGGAGCTTGCTTCGGAATCTGTGTCTCCCTCTCTCTGCCCCTACCCCACTTGTGCTCTGGCTCTCTCTCAAAAATATTTAAAAAATGGTTTACTTTTGCAATAAAGGAGTAATAGTTTGTGCTGACTCTTAGAAAAGTGCTCAACTGGAATCTCTGGAAAACTCATCCCAGGGTAGCGAGCAAGGTTGTGTCCAAGCTGTGGCCTTGGAGTTGTTGACCCACATTGTATCATCTAGGCTTCAGCTTCAGGACCTGGGTCCAGGTGGCTGCTGGTTAGACAAGAGGAATGAGGTGAAGGCAGGGAGACCACTCAATGAGCTAGAGCATAACAATTCAGGTGGCAATAACACACTAGAACTTGGTGTGACCAACTGTTTTCAAGCCAAAAAAAAAAAAAAAAAAAAAAAAAAAAAAAAAAAAGGAAAAGAAATTAAAGACATGTCTGTTCATGTTCTGTGGGAAGAAAGGCTGGGCTGAGAGAAGAAAGTAAAGTCAGTCAAGCCCATGGATGAAGAAAATGCTGAGCTACTTTTTGTTGGAGTAGAACAGGCAGTTGTCTATATTGCTGCAGTTGTCTATGTTGGGTGACTTCAGACCCAGAACCAGTCATTTCCAACATCTGGAACAGTCATGCCTGGCACATGTTCAAGAAAAATGAAAGGCCACTTCAGTCAAGGAACCACCTGTCCATTACAGCCTACCAAACTTGTGACCCTTCTCAAGTCCTGTGGCCATCTTGTGTGGCTCTCAACTTGAACTGAGATCAGCAGAGTTGTGCTATCTGTTGAGCTTCTTTCTGTCTACACCCGGTTCTAACACAAGTCAAGCCTCACAATTCTTCAGAGTTACTGAGTATTCAGCTTCTGGTACTTCCTTTGGGAGGTATAAATGAAAGTCTTTCTGTATCCAAGCAGCTTCCACTTCTGGAGAAAACCCGAGTTACCTTGGGTTGGGTTCCCTGGAAACAGACTCTGAGTCTCTGTGTTCAGGGTTTTTGGGGTGCAGTGGAGGGGTCCTCAGGGACAACACCTATAAGTGAATAAGGGACAGAGGCCTGGGCACAGGGAGAAGTGGTTCTTCTTACCAATCCTAGGGAGAGCTCTGGAGCTGGGGTGGCCTTATGGGGTTGTCCTCAATTGAGGCACAGGGGCCAGGCCTTTATATCTCCTAAATTAATCAGTCACTGCGGCCACTTGGGTGTCTCAGTCGGTTAACATCCAACTCGTGATTTCGGCTCAGGTCATGATCCCATCCAGGGTGGGATCACACTGGGCTCCACACTGAGTATGGAGCCTGCTTGAGATTCTCTCTCTCTCTCTCTCTCTCTCTCTCTCTCTCTCTCTCACACACCCCCCCCCACACACACACACACACTCAAATAGGAAAGGAAAAATTAAAAAAAATAAAAATAAAAAACATCAGTCACTGAATGCATGCTGTTTCCTGGGGAGAAGGCATATTCTTTGATGAGGCCGGTTATATCAACTTCAGTCAAGGGAAGTCTCCAGGGAAGAAGGCAGCTGAATTGCCCTAGCAGACTGTAGGGGAAGAAAAGAGGTCCTGAGGGAAGTGAGCTTGCTCGAAGGATTTATTGTGTGGAATCAAAAGGTCAGACAGAGGGTTATGCTCCACAGGAGGTCCAAAGGACAGGCCATACTCAATGGCAATGGGAAATGCACTAGTGAGAGAAATACCAGCATCACTAAGAAGTTCAGAGGGGCTAGGGTAATCTCTAGGGTAATGATAGCATCCCGAAGTGATAGAAGCTAGGTGGTGACTTTAACCACCAGAAGCCTGGAGGCTGTAATTACTATAATAGCTGGCAAGTTAAGAGGGGCTGCATGGGTACTTGACCCTCAGGTGCTGTGAAGGTATTTAATAGTACAAGGTGTCCATAGGGGAAAAATAGATGGGCAGCCAATAGGGTGCTGCTTGATATCTATAACCAGAAGAAGGCAAGAATGGCAGAAGAGGGGTCTGAGGGTGGTTGCCTTAATACAAAAGTCGCACTTCCTGTACAGTTCTCAGATCTGAGTCAATCTTCAGACCTGGACCACAGAATCCATTGACTGAGAAGAATCCATTCCCTAAGAAGAAGAACCCTGCAACACAGAAACAGATATTACTGCAATGATTACTCTGTGGCCTATGGCCATTTTCACAGCCAACTATATGTTAGGGAAAGAGATGTACCCAGAAATTTTGCAGAGTCCAGAGGATCTTGTTGCCCAGAAACTCAAAGTGTTATCATGGCCTCTTTTTAAGAGTGGGGACTTCTGGGGGTCAGGTAATGAGCACAGGTCTGTATAATATCCAGTTTACAATGAGTCCACGGGAGCGTGGACCTATCCACTAGTCTTTCCTCAGTCCCTGAGTGCATAATTGGGAGTATATATTGAGAGCAAGCTCCACATTAGGTCTTTGGCCTTGAGTTCTCATGGTGAGGAAAACCAGGTGAAAGCCACTAAAACTGTCCCTTCCTTACCGAGTTGAGATAATAAATAAGAACCAATATTTCATCCAAGGGGCTAGGATGATGATGGTAGAGATTAATGCCACCATTAAAGACCTAATAGATACAGAGTAGTTGTCCCTGTCATGTCTCCATTTAATTTGCCAGTCTGGCCACTTCAGAAACCAGGAGAATGGTTTATAGACAACTGAAGATGTAATCATGTAGTAGACTTGATTATAGTCATTGTGCCATCTCTGCGATCTGTCATAACACAGTCCAAAAGGATCGGGACCACCTGGACATCCCAGAGAGCCTATCTGTTCTATTGATAACAGCATGCTAATAGTATAACCCTATCTGTTATACTGATAACAGCATGCTAATCAGGCATGCTGAGCAAGAGATAGCTAGTACATTGGAGACCTTGGAAAGATACACGCACTTCACATAAACCCATGAAGATTCAGAGACCTGTCACTTGAGTTGTTAGGGAACCAGTGGTCAGGGATCTGCCAGGATAGTTCCTTCAAAGTAAAAGGCAAATTATAAAACACAAATAAGCAAGGTGAAAGAAAACATTGCTTATAATCCCGTAAAAGCGACACGTAAAATTGTTCATAGTGTTTATATCTTTTAAGATGTTTTTCATTGTGCAGAGAATATAAATACCACAAACTAATACAGAATCATACCACTATCTGATACCATGTTTATTTGCTTGTTTGCTTGCTTATTGCCTAGATCTCCTCACTGTGATACAAGCTCCATGAAAGATGCACTTGGTGCTGGATAAATATTTTTTGGTGGCATAAATGAGACATACCATACCCATTGTTTTGTAGCCAGCTCTTTTCAGTGAACTTCTAGATGCTTCAGGTTATGCTTCATTTTTCTTAAACTGTGCCATTCCAGAAAGTCAGGTGAAAGCAAAATTCTCACACTCCAAAGACTGCTTCTAGCACTGCAACTTTAAAACCAAGAAACCTTAGTCTTTGGGCTCCAGAAACCCTCCAGAATCTCTTTTCTTTTGGCTAGCACTGCCTTAGAATCTTCAGCGGTCACAGCCTTGCCTGGATCATTCTTTAGAGGAGCCAAATCAGGTTCCAAGGACATAAGTGAAGAAGACGTGCCAGGCAAACAGCACAGCCCGCAGCCACGTCCCTCCTCTAGCCACACGGGGGCGTGAGAGCGCCACGGTCCGCTCCTGGTCGGCGGCCCTCGGGAAGGAAGATTTTGGGCGGGTGTGTAGACTGCCCGCTGTGGGCGGAGCAAAAGGCTCCAAGGACCGGGCAGAGGGCAGGAAGTAAGGAGGCGGGGCTTCTGGATGGGGTACGCGCTTGCGCAAAGGGCCGGTCTGAAGAGTCGTCTTCGCTTTCGCCACTCCTAGGGTCTGTCCTGTGGGGATGTCTTTGTCCCCCTTTTACGAGTTGGGCCGGGCCCAGGGGTGGGGGCAGAGTGCGAGAGCTTCGAGGGGCGCCGGGGTGAGGGGCGGAGTCCTGTGAGCACGGGGAGGGGAGTGGGGTGGCGAGGCCTGGGGGGAAGGGACGGAGGGGCGCCGGGTGTGTCTGGGGGAGGGTTGGGGAGAGCCGGGGGAGAGGGGTGAGTGGAAAAGGGGTACGGGAGAGTTGTGTCTGAACCCCCCCCCCCCCCCCCCCCCCCCCCCCCCCCCCCCCGCTCCCGGCGTGGAGTGCAGGGACCCCAGGGTGCTACTCTGCCGGCCGGGAAGTTGCTAGTTAGCAGGTGGATGTGGTTTCCGAGAAGATACCTCCCTCTCCCCCCATCCTTTCTCTTTGGCAGCTCCTTTTTTAAAGTAGTATTTCTTATTAACACGGACGGCACGGTGTGCCTCACTTCGACACCTTCACCCGTGCAAAACCGCTTCCAACCGCCTACAGCAACTTGAGAGGCAGTCCCTCTCTTTCCTCCTCATTCTTAAAGTAGACAACATAAGTTTTCCTACCTAAACCCTGCAATGAAGAACCCAACATTTCCCGTGTAACCAGTGCAAAGGCGTTTTGATACTTTCTTCATAAACTTGTTTACAAAAAGAGCTTTTTATACTCTTTAAATAATGTCACTTGCCTGTGTAAAGCTGAGCAACAGTTTTATTGTGCCATGCAGTCCTCAATGAGCAATTTTAGTCCGGGGCGACGTAAGGCCTCATTTGGAATTCAGGGATTGATCCACCGTAGGGACCCCAACCAGTACCGTGTATCCCTCGCTGAAATGCAGCGGGTGTATATGCATCATCTCAGCCGTGGTGACGGGGTGCATGCAGTCTGACATTTGGAAGCTTAAGAACCAAGCCTGTTGCCTTCCAATTTATTTTTTTTTTTAAGTCTTCCATCATGTGTGTACTTTGCTTGAATGATTATTTTAAAGTACATGTCCTATTTTTGCCAACCTGACGGCTGTTTCCATAGAAACCAGGGAAGAAATAGTCATTTTCAGCAGAGTTGTTAAAACTGTCTTACAGGCTTCAGCTGTGAGTGCCAGTGAGTGCTGTACTTGCTCATTCTGAGATGGTACTTAAAGAATTAAGGATCTGAAATGGTCTTAGAGGCTAACCATCCAAATTGCTTAATTTTCTCACATCATTAATTTAGTAATCCTTGAAGTTTGCCAGCCTTGTTTGTTGACCTGCTCTAGTTCTTTGAAGAGGATAGGCCAGCCCTGAATCCTTCTTAGGCTCTGTGTAGTCTAGCGTTGGCTCTGTGAAATGTATAAATAGGTTTCTTCCCCCAATTTTTTTTTTTTTTAACCATTTCTCAAGGATAAGCCAGGGATTGCAAAATATCAGGCTCCATTTCTGTTCTAAATGACAGTTTATTGTCAGTGATGTCAGTGATAATGTTTTTACTTATGTTCATGTAATGTTTGGGGCTTTTGCTTGTACCTTCTGTGTCAGAATTTTTTTTTTTAATTTCACATAAGTCATGAGAGATGAGCAAGACTTTGCTTGCTATAATCGCAGAGCTAAGCCGTGCAATTGATGCGCATAGATATTAGAGATGAGAGGTTTTCTGAGGGGTGTAAGTAAATCAATGGGTCTGGAGCTTAGGAATGGGTGAAGGACAGCCGGGGAAGGTGGCTGGAGAAATGGTAGGAGGTGGCATTAGGAGAGGCCTGGTCTTTCATATGCAGGAGTTTATTGAAGCCCACGGAAACCGTTGGGAATTACAAAAATAGTTGTTAGTTTTGGGGCTTACAAAATAATACACCTGGTAAAAATTTGAACAGCACAGAAATACGTGAGATGAAAATCCTTTACAGTGACTCAAAATAACCACTATGAATAGTTTGCTATGTGTTGCTTTAGATTTATTTGTATTTGTGTATGTTAGCATATTGCAGCATTACTGTTGCTGCAAATTGGGCAGAGATTTTTGTCTCTTTTTTTGTGGTTATCTCCAGCATCCAGAATGGTATGATACGGTATGTAGGACGCGCTCATTAAATATTTAATGAATGAATGACATCATTTAGATGGAAAACTGAATGGGGTCTTGTGTATGTTGGTTTGGTCAAGGTGGTTAATAAGCTTTGTTTGTTTTTTGTTTTAAGTTGGTTGCCAGCATTTTAAAACTGCTAACTTCCACATAAAGTTTGAATTGCTTGCTTTTCTTGAAAACATTGAACTGTTTGGTAACACTAAGTTCAAATTCCATTACACTTGTTGCATCTTCTTTAGATAGGCGTGAATCTGCATTTATGTCAGGATGGCTTTGCCTGGACTCTACAGACTAGCACTGTGGCTAATACAATAGCCACTAGTCACCTATGGCCATTTTGTTTTAGATGAGCTAAAATGAACTAAAGGGGTGTCTGGGTGCCTCAGTTCGGTCGAGCATCTGGTTTCGGCTTAGGTCATGATCTCATGGTTCATAGGTTTGAGCCCTGCGTTGGGTTCCTTGTTGTCAACGCAGAGCCTACTGGGGATTCTCTCTCTCACTCCCTCTGCCCCTTCCCTGCTCAGGCATGAGTGCGCGCTCTCTCTCTTACAATAAATAAATGAACACTAAAACATTCTTTTGCTCAGTCACACCAGCCACATTTCAAGTGCTCAGTAGCCATAGGTAGAAGTTAGCACATTGGACAATGAAGACACATTTCTATGATTGCAGAAGTTTCTGTTGTGCAGTGCTGGTTTACACATCTGAGTTTGCCATTCCTGATATACAGAATTTTGGCAAGTAGTATTATTTTTAAGATTTGTATATCTTTGTCATTATACAAATCTCCATTTTTTAAAAAAAAAATGGTTGCCTTATATTTAGCAATGTAGGGCTTATGTGAGTTGTGGGAGTAGGATTCTGTTGTCTGCTTTGTATTTTAGATAGCTTTACTTCTTGTTTGGGGGGGACGAACTGGAGGGGTAGGAGTTGGTGGTAACATGGGCAGAGAGATTGGAGGTTATATAGCCATCCACAGCCTAAGGCCACAGAGCCCAGGAAGGGCTAGAGATTGAGACATTAAGGAGGCAGAATTGACACGACTGATTTAATGTGGATTGAGATCTGTTGTATGATAAAGTCACTGCAGAGATAATCCACTACTAATCTGGAACTGATTCAGTGTTGAAAATCGGAAATTTGGCTTTGCAAAGTATAGAAGGAACCCTCAGTCGTAATAAACAGCATGTATATTAAAATGTTATTAGCTTATGTATGAAGTGTGTAACTTTTATACCTCGTAACCTCTTAAGTCAGAGGTCATTTATTCATGAGATACTCTTCTCTTTAAAGAGAGGGAATTGTTTTAGGGATAGAGTAAAAGCTCATGTAGCTCAGTTAAATTTAGGAAGTACAGTGGACTCTTGGGAACCAGGAGGGTATGAGTCTTGCCCCCTCTCTTTCTCTCTTTCTCTCCCTGAGGCTTCAAGATCTTTTACTTTCTGCACATTGATCGATTCCATCGTCCTTTCTCTTGATCCACTTCTTTTGCAAGGGTTTTGGTTCCCAGTTCTTGCTTGCGTGCTACTTTGTGTAGCACCAAGTACAGCCCCAAATTATACATACCCTTGTACTTCTTTGCCTGATACTGCCTCACCAAAAGTCTTGTCAGTGTCAGATGTCCACGCCTGGCTCTGTGGCCAGTGGAAGGGGTCTCTGGGGAAGATTGACAGTCTGGGCCTATCCCTTAAATTGAGGCTATAGGATGCCCTTAGAAAGTGGGCATGTGTTTGGACAAGTGTTTGAAGCTTATCTCCTATAGTAAAGAATGTGGGTTTGTGTTGTTTTTGTAGTATGACTTCTAGCAAAAGACTTTCTGTTGTTAAACCTTAAGTACACTTCCCCATTTGAAACAATTCTTTTTTTTTTTTTTTTTTTTTTTTTTTTTTTTAATTTTTTTTTTTTTTAAATTTTTTTTTTTCAACGTTTATTTATTTTTGGGACAGAGAGAGACAGAGCATGAACGGGGGAGGGGCAGAGAGAGAGGGAGACACAGAATCAGAAACAGGCTCCAGGCTCCGAGCCATCAGCCCGGAGCCTGACGCGGGGCTCGAACTCACGGACCGCGAGATCGTGACCTGGCTGAAGTCGGACGCTTAACCAACTGCGCCACCCAGGCGCCCCGAAACAATTCTTTAAAAACTTTTTTTTTCTGCATCTACCCAAACAGCATAAAAAACAATAGTTGCCTTGAACTATTGTGCTACTCATGGAAGTCCTTTCTTTTTTAAAAATTCATAACAGTGCATAACGCTTAATAAGGAACTGTATTTTATTATTCCATAATAGTCTTACTTAGATACATTCCCTACCCCCCTCAACTAGATTATGACATCCATGAGGGCAGGGACTGAATTTCATGCTGCATCTGTAACTCATAAGCCAGCTAGCCAATGAAGAAACTTACTGGTTACTCAAATACTAATTTTGAAATGATTTCTAGACTTCAGTTATTTTACTACTTTCAGCTTGGTTTAAAAAAGGAAAAAAAAACTAGAAAGTATCTTGTTAATAACATCAGATTATTATGTATTAAGTGTGGACTCTGATTTAAAATTGGTAGTAATTCCAAAAGGGTTAACTTGGAGTTAATGTTTACTTATCATGCCCTTTATTCACATTTTATGTTATATGCAAGGGTGGAATGTTATATAAAAAATGTTAGTAACTTTTAAATAGTCTGACATGTAGGTAATACTGCTTATTAAAACTGATTTTCTGAAGTTATTTTTCTAGATAATATTGTAGTAGTTTAGGATGAGTTAGATTTACATATTTTCTTCCAACTTTAATTATGAAGATTTTGAAACAGTTAGATACCATTGTTAATATTTTACTGCATTGGCTTTATGTCCTATGTAAGTGTGTGTGTGTGTGTGTGTGTGTGTGTGTGATACAATTTGAAAGTAAGTTTTATTCTTCATAAAGAGATACCT